TATGGATGTTGTTATTTCAACAGATGGTAAGACTTGGTCAAAGCCTTGAAAGATACAAGGACGTTAAGTTGCAGCAATTTCGCAGTCAACTATCAATGGAGGATTCTCACGTACGTGTAAGATCTAGATAACCTAGCCAAACCGAAAAAAAATTCCTACATAACCAACAACTGTTTCAGAAGTGCTAATTAATACCAGGCATTACTCATTCCCTTTCATTTGTTATCATAATCTTTGTAGACTCGATTACCAGCCGCTGTTTTCGGGGAGGGAATTAAACCGGATTCGCGAGAACGAAGGAAATCGAGCCTACAGTGGAATCTCGATTTTTCGAACCTCCAAGGGAAAGGAAAATTGGTTCGAAAAATCGGATAGCTCGAGAAATCGGGGGTAAAATTACAGTGTTTGACTGAGGAAAGGGAAACGACTCTTGGTTCGAGGCATCGGGAGGGCGAAAAAAATGAGGGTTGGAGAAATCGGGATTCCACTTATTTTCTTTGTACCTGCACCCAAAGAGGTTAAGAACGCGAAATCCACCCACCCTCCCATCCCCCTGCCTTATACCTCCTGTCTAATTCTAAGGTTGTTGTATTCATTGCCATCCAATTGAAATTCACGAGAGTCGAAAAGGAGTTACAGTGTAATCCCAATTTCTCGAACCCTCAGTTTTTCGAATCCCCCCGATAACTCGAACCAAAAGTCGTTTCCCCTCCTCAGTCAAACACTGTAATTTTACCCCCGATTTCTCGAAATTTTCGATTTTTCGAACCAATTTTCGTTTCCCTGGGAGGTTCGAAAAATCGGGATTCCACTGTACTAGCCCCCCTACACTGACGTTTTTATTGCTCAGTGCGCATGTCAGGGTGTACGAGCCCAAATGACGTCTGTCAATGAGACAAGAACGAAACCGGACAAGTATCGATAAAGTATTTGATCGGGGGAATGTTAATTGACGGTGTCAAAATTGATTGATCTATTGATCAAAAGAGTGACACTTTGAGGTCCAATCGGGAAATGGTTATGTGGTGTGTAACCTAGCTTTCTATATTGATTTGTCGCTTTGTGTAATTGTTGTCTTCCGATCCTTTTAAGATTATTATTGTCGTTGTTATTGTTGTCTCCACGCAGTTGGCGAACCACTTGGTAGAGATGCTGGACACGGCGCTCACAAAATACAGAACATGGTTAGAAAAGAAATCTGCCACAAGAATCTCCAGCTGACATTGAATCGACAACATTCAAAGGAATTAATTTTGTAACTTATGATAGGTTCGAGGGGTAATGGACGGAAGAAAAGACCTGCATGCATTGATGTTTAAACCAAGGGTAAAATTGTACTTTTGTCAAGAGCGTTAGCAGCGTTGGTTTTTTTCCTGGATTGCAGTTCGAGTAGGGCGTTTCTCGGTGGAAAATAAAAATCGTTTTGTTAATATTTGGACATGTGCAGTCTGCAATCTTTAATTCAGGTTTTACGAAGTTCAACGTTGGCAAAACGTAGGAGGTGATCGGCCAACTCGGGCATTGAGAAAACTTACCTCAAAAGAGTTTTTTTGACATGTAGTTGACCCTCACATTCCAGGATTTGAATTGCGTCGATTGTTTGTAGAGATGTAAACATATGATGTTCTCTCGTTTATAGCCATAGTGAATAGAAAAGAAAATTAAGTAATGGTTCCTAAGCTTTTGGGAAAACTTTTGTACTATGCCACTATTTGTAATCTGGAATATTTTTGTCTGTTAAACATCTATTAAAAACCTTATTGTGAATCAGTTGCATCTTTGAGTCGATAACCAATCTTAAGACTTTACACTCTTCGTTTGGGGGAAAAGAGAGGGCCGAGCGGCTCATTGGGGGAATGGGGAGAAAACCAGGTCTGAAGCAATCGCTTTTGGCTGCGAGCAGGCTCACGTTGCAGCACAAGCGCGCGGCGTAAGCGCGAGCGCGAAATCCAGCGGCGAAGCCACGAGAGGAGTCTTGGCGCCTCTTCACCCCCTCTTCAGCAGACTCCTCCCCGCCGGATCACTTTGCTCTTCACCGCTCGCGCGCGTGACTCAAAGATGAGACCAGCTAGCCTGTGTAGCAAGCAGTCCCGCACAAAGAGCTTTTCCACATTCTGGCCGCGCGTAAATTGGAGCGAGAGCAAAAATTTGACGAAGCAATTCGTCGAATTTTTTGCTCTCGCTCCAGTTTTCGCGCGGTCAGAATGCGGAAAAGCCCTTTGTACGGGACCGCCTGCTACACAGGCTAAGGTCAGCCTGCTTGCAGGCTACAACAGCTTGACAAGTGGTTCCTCAGTGCTGAGCATGTAGGAAGAGGGCGAAAAGAAAATATTCTCCTTGAACCGCACTATGGCCCATGTGTGACCGTCAGTAATTAACAATAGGGAGTTAAGGGCCTAGCTACGGGCTGATAGTTGCCCGCGGAAATTCTATGTTGTAAAAAACAAATATTAGCTTGAGAACGAAGTTCGAGGGCTTAAAATGAAGTTTTTGCAATTACCATATATACCTACGGGAGGTCAACTTTTTATTGATATCGACCTACGGGAGATACTTCACCAGACTGGGGCGGACGTTTAAAGGGACGCAACTGTGCAGAACAGAATCGAACATGAACCGTCAGTGTGTACGTGGAATCGTTTCTTGCTTGCAGGGTATTTCGTCCCTAGAGCTGATTCCTTGACCACTTTCATCTACAGGCCACCACCGACTAAGAGGGATAGGTGGGTCTGGTGACGGGTCTTGTTGTTTAAGCGGGAAACGATTCCGCGTGCATAGTGACGGTTTGTGGGTCACTTAGGCCCCGGCCACACTACCGCGGAGGAATTTGAAAACGGGGGTTTCACTCTGAAATCGCTTCAAAGGTTTTCCGTCCAAAATACGCCGGGGGAATTTAAAAGCGCAACAATCACCAGCAAATACGCGGGCAGGGAAATCACACGATTATCGTGAGGTCATCGTTTTCAAAAAGTCCTTTTTCAAAATGTTTTCCGTCCACATGAAAACGGAAAGCCCCTCGTTTTCATACCTCCGGTTTGAAGAGCGTTTTCGAAAAGGTCCGTTTTCGTGACGGTTTAGTGTGGACGTTGCTTTATTTAGAACGATGGCATCAACGTTTTGAAAGAAGAAACGTACGTAACCGCGAAACGATGTCTGTTGAGACAACATCAACTTCATTTCTGTCAGTTTAGACAATTTCCTTTATTTTCACAAATTAGAAGTAGCAGAACCGTTACTTAGATCGGACAAATAACCCTACAACTTAGCGTCCCTGAAGTACAAAACATTCCTCAGAGAAAACCAAAGCCCAAGACAAACATTTGATGAAAGTACGTTACAACGCATGCGTCGTGACCTGCGACAAAGAGCACTCCACCATCAAGGCGGGCTAGAACTGAGCATTATAACGTAGTAACCAATTTCTTGAATGTCGACATCTTTTCCATCGCAGTAGAGGGACGTAAGGGACGGTCCATAAATTTTTTGAGGGGGAGGGGGGTGGAGGGCGTTGGGCAATTTCCAAAAACAAAATATTGCACAGTAAAACTGCTTTAAGAAATCGTTGGCCCTTCTCTCAAAAAATAATGGTCTGTTCCTCGGTCACCTACAGGCGAACTTCGGTCCAAGAGACTGCACTGAACCCTAACCTATGAAATTTTCTCTGGACAAAGACCATACCAGGCCAAAGGCTTTATCCATCAGAATTTGTGACAACATTGCAAACATATTAGAAAAAAGAGCAACATCAAATCTAGTAGCACAACACATCACTGTGTGCATACTAAGTTATCAAAAATTAAGTAACCACCATTAACAATTTAGTCAATTCATAACTGGTAATAATGAAAGCAGCAGACTATCTATTTAAAGACCTGCATTTCTCTAAAGTGGAACATTCACTTTTCTTAGTTTCAGTACATTCTGCTGTTACAAAAGTATTCAAAGTCCTTAATTAAAACTACAGTGGTTTTTCTGACCAAAACACACAGAATCAAACATGATCAGAGCAAGATACAAATACAAACCACTACATCCTTAAAAGTTCGTCTTTCTGCCTTGAGCTCTAAATAAGTGGAAATTACACTGTACAACAAAATCTTGATCAATTAACTAAGCCTTCAAGTAAAGAATTGTAAAACACTTAGTCCTTTATAATGAGCCCTAATGGTTTTGATCTCTAGACATGAATACAAATCTAAATGTGTATGTGATAAGAATGAATGAATGAATAAACTGCTCGGGAAAATTTTCTTATTATATTTTACAATGTATTATATCAACTGAATTCTGCCAAGCAGTTTAAAGGATGCATGGAAACTAAATTTGAGAAGAATTTGTAAGTTACATGATCAGGCCTCCGTTGTTTAAATACTAATTAACACTGATGCAGACATAGTAGTAATGACAGGTGCACTAAGTAAACTGTGAATTATCTTAAAGTACACCAATTGATTGCTTAGGTCACCTTTGGGTCTTTCAATCGACCAAGCCTCAAAAATTTAACTAAAATAAACCTTGGAGAAAAATGAAACAGTTTACAAAGAACTAGGTACAGTTGCACAGATATTTTGGCTTGATTTTTTTCTTAAGATCCATGTAATTGGCAGGAGAGTTTAACAGAAATCCCAAATGATAATAACACTAGTCCTAGATTAGTTTAGTCCCATTTTTAACAACAAAGCTCTTGAATTTTAAGACAAAAAGTTTAATAAACAAAGGTTTATCATCTAGGCCTAAATGTAATGCATTATGGAATGTGATGAATAATTTAAAACATGGACTATGAACAATTGGGCCCCACTGTAAACTGTAAACTTGTATTCTTAAGAATCCAAGTTTGTACAGTAATTATAAATATTTCGCTCTTAAACTACACCAAACTGTAATGTAAAGCCATGAAACATCAAAATAACCAACCATATTTAAAATATACTAGCACTAAAATATGCTTTAAATTAAATTTAAAATTGGAGTCATTTTTTCATGTTGTATACATACTGTAAACATCTCGGATCTTCACAAATATGAACACCAATATTGAAAATATACTCAGTACACACAAATTTATCTAAAAATACATGTATACCCAAACCAGATATTTTATAAAACTAACTTTGATGAATTACGCCCATTGCTTGTAGAAGGTCGTCCAAGGGCACTGTTTCCTTGGGGTCCAACAAGTTAAATTCTTGATGGTATAAGACAAAGTGAATTAAGACCGTATTCAAATGTGAATTCAGTCCATGGTTTAACAAGTCATTGAAGTGCGCATAGAACATGTGAGCCTGCACATGAAAAAGAAGCTTGAAAATTTTGCGCACTGTTGTCATAAAGGTTGGTGGAAATGTCATACCTGTTGGAAAAACAACATAAGAGATGAGTGCTGGTTCGGAGAGAAATCCTAGCATACCATTCAGGATTTGTCAGACTAGAGATATTGCTATAAACAAGGAGTTTAATTTGGCAGTGAATTATTACTATCTACAACTTTTGAACTGTTTACTGTGCCACGCAGCAACTGATCCTCTTGTATTACAATTATTTATTAGTAATATTAGTCAACTAAGAAAAGACAAGTAAAAATTCAGTTTTACATTTATATAGCTGCTATTGACCTATACTATACAATGTGGCTTCTGGAAAACTCATAACAGTAACGGTACTACTAGATTTACACCAGAGTTGAAAAAAAAAAGGAAATCCCATATTAAAGTGGAATATAAATCTATTACTACTTACAGGCTAGCAAACTTCCCACTGCCTGCAGTTTTATGGGTACACACGGGAAAAAGTTAATTATTCAAGACATATAATTATAAATAGCAGTTTCAAGACTCACCATATTTTGTCGGAAACACTGCGTCATCATGAAGATACTTGTGACAACAAGTCATAACATAATCAATATATTGCGGTGCTGAAACATTTGTTTTTGTGATTTTCTTTCCCTTGTCATCATGCCACAAATAAACTCTGCAACAAATGAACAAAAAATAATTGCACGACCACCACAATTGTCCAGCATAGTTCTCAATTGAACCCACCTTCAAGAGGTGTCAATTGTTAGGGTTACAACTCCACAATACATAGACTTTCAGAAAAGTCATTCGTCTTATTTATTCAGTACCCACTGGACCAAGGACTTCTCCTACTTGATTGGCGCCAATTTTAGCAACCCAAAAACAAGTTGCTTCACGAACTTCACAATGCCGCTCACGGCCTGAAATCTCGCAGCTAGCTTCTCTCGCTTAGCTACATGTACATGTAGCATTCTACCCTGAAATGCATGAGGTAGACTGGTAGCAAGTCCACACAATACAATGCTGTACTGCAGAACAGTAACAAAAGCCTGCTGGGCATGTGTCAACCTGTCACAGACACCTAATACTGAAATGCAGTCTTACACATAATTAATAACAAAGTTGTTAAAAAGCTGACAAATTTAACTTAACAATCAACAAAAAGGGATTCAAAGATTANACAAATAACCCTACAACTTAGCGTCCCTGAAGTACAAAACATTCCTCAGAGAAAACCAAAGCCCAAGACAAACATTTGATGAAAGTACGTTACAACGCATGCGTCGTGACCTGCGACAAAGAGCACTCCACCATCAAGGCGGGCTAGAACTGAGCATTATAACGTAGTAACCAATTTCTTGAATGTCGACATCTTTTCCATCGCAGTAGAGGGACGTAAGGGACGGTCCATAAATTTTTTGAGGGGGAGGGGGGTGGAGGGCGTTGGGCAATTTCCAAAAAAAAAATATTGCACAGTAAAAACTGCTTTAAGAAATCGTTGGCCCTTCTCTCAAAAAATAATGGTCTGTTCCTCGGTCACCTACAGGCGAACTTCGGTCCAAGAGACTGCACTGAACCCTAACCTATGAAATTTTCTCTGGACAAAGACCATACCAGGCCAAAGGCTTTATCCATCAGAATTTGTGACAACATTGCAAACATATTAGAAAAAAGAGCAACATCAAATCTAGTAGCACAACACATCACTGTGTGCATACTAAGTTATCAAAAATTAAGTAACCACCATTAACAATTTAGCCAATTCATAATTGGTAATAATGAAAGCAGCAGACTATCTATTTAAAGACCTGCATTTCTCTAAAGTGGAACATTCACTTTTCTTAGTTTCAGTACATTCTGCTGTTACAAAAGTATTCAAAGTCCTTAATTAAAACTACAGTGGTTTTTCTGACCAAAACACACAGAATCAAACATGATCAGAGCAAGATACAAATACAAACCACTACATCCTTAAAAGTTCGTCTTTCTGCCTTGAGCTCTAAATAAGTGGAAATTACACTGTACAACAAAATCTTGATCAATTAACTAAGCCTTCAAGTAAAGAATTGTAAAACACTTAGTCCTTTATAATGAGCCCTAATGGTTTTGATCTCTAGACATGAATACAAATCTAAATGTGTATGTGATAAGAATGAATGAATGAATAAACTGCTCGGGAAAATTTTCTTATTATATTTTACAATGTATTATATCAACTGAATTCTGCCAAGCAGTTTAAAGGATGCATGGAAACTAAATTTGAGAAGAATTTGTAAGTTACATGATCAGGCCTCTGTTGTTTAAATACTAATTAACACTGATGCAGACATAGTAGTAATGACAGGTGCACTAAGTAAACTGTGAATTATCTTAAAGTACACCAATTGATTGCTTAGGTCACCTTTGGGTCTTTCAATCGACCAAGCCTCAAAAATTTAACTAAAATAAACCTTGGAGAAAAATGAAACAGTTTACAAAGAACTAGGTACAGTTGCACAGATATATTAGCTTGATTTTTTTCTTAAGATCCATGTAATTGGCAGGAGAGTAAAACAGAAATCCCAAATAATAATAACACTAGTCCTAGATTAGTTTAGTCCCATTTTTAACAACAAAGCACTTGAATTTTAAGACAAAAAGTTTAATAAACAAAGGTTTATCATCTAGGCCTAAATGTAATGCATTATGGAATGTGATGAATAATTTAAAACATGGACTATGAACAATTGGGCCCCACTGTAAACTGTAAACTTGTATTCTTAAGAATCCAAGTTTGTACAGTAATTATAAATATTTCGCTCTTAAACTACACCAAACTGTAATGTAAAGCCATGAAACATCAAAATAACCAACCATATTTAAAATATACTAGCACTAAAATATGCTTTAAATTAAATTTAAAATTGGAGTCATTTTTTCATGTTGTATACATACTGTAAACATCTCGGATCTTCACAAATATGAACACCAATATTGAAAATATACTCAGTACACACAAATTTATCTAAAAATACATGTATACCCAAACCAGATATTTTATAAAACTAACTTTGATGAATTACGCCCATTGCTTGTAGAAGGTCGTCCAAGGGCACTGTTTCCTTGGGGTCCAACAAGTTAAATTCTTGATGGTATAAGACAAAGTGAATTAAGACCGTATTCAAATGTGAATTCAGTCCATGGTTTAACAAGTCATTGAAGTGCGCATAGAACATGTGAGCCTGCACATGAAAAAGAAGCTTGAAAATTTTGCGCACTGTTGTCATAAAGGTTGGTGGAAATGTCATACCTGTTGGAAAAACAACATAAGAGATGAGTGCTGGTTCGGAGAGAAATCCTAGCATACCATTCAGGATTTGTCAGACTAGAGATATTGCTATAAACAAGGAGTTTAATTTGGCAGTGAATTATTACTATCTACAACTTTTGAACTGTTTACTGTGCCACGCAGCAACTGATCCTCTTGTATTACAATTATTTATTAGTAATATTAGTCAACTAAGAAAAGACAAGTAAAAATTCAGTTTTACATTTATATAGCTGCTATTGACCTATACTATACAATGTGGCTTCTGGAAAACTCATAACAGTAACGGTATTACTAGATTTACACCAGAGTTGAAAAAAAAAAGGAAATCCCATATTAAAGTGGAATATAAATCTATTACTACTTACAGGCTAGCAAACTTCCCACTGCCTGCAGTTTTATGGGTACACACGGGAAAAAGTTAATTATTCAAGACATATAATTATAAATAGCAGTTTCAAGACTCACCATATTTTGTCGGAAACACTGCGTCATCATGAAGATACTTGTGACAACAAGTCATAACATAATCAATATATTGCGGTGCTGAAACATTTGTTTTTGTGATTTTCTTTCCCTTGTCATCATGCCACAAATAAACTCTGCAACAAATGAACAAAAAATAATTGCACGACCACCACAATTGTCCAGCATAGTTCTCAATTGAACCCACCTTCAAGAGGTGTCAATTGTTAGGGTTACAACTCCACAATACATAGACTTTCAGAAAAGTCATTCGTCTTGTTTATTCAGTACCCACTGGACCAAGGACTTCTCCTACTTGATTGGCGCCAATTTTAGCAACCCAAAAACAAGTTGCTTCACGAACTTCACAATGCCGCTCACGGCCTGAAATCTCGCAGCTAGCTTCTCTCGCTTAGCTACATGTACATGTAGCATTCTACCCTGAAATGCATGAGGTAGACTGGTAGCAAGTCCACACAATACAATGCTGTACTGCAGAACAGTAACAAAAGCCTGCTGGGCATGTGTCAACCTGTCACAGACACCTAATACTGAAATGCAATCTTACACATAATTAATAACAAAGTTGTTAAAAAGCTGACAAATTTAACTTAACAATCAACAAAAAGGGATTCAAAGATTAGTTGGTTTTCAGAAAAATTGAGTGACAACTTACGCAGAGCCTGGAGCTGACATCGTAGGACAAGAAGCAACAGTACACCTCTCACTTACACTGCCATACAACAAGTCAACTTGGTTGAAAAATGCTGAGGCTATGTGGAGAAAAAAATCCAGCGTATTTTTACACGTGTCATAATCCTTCATTTAATAATCTTTCAATAACTATATATTTATTAATTTGTAAATACATACATGTATGCTGTAGTTAATTTTTCAGTGTTACAGTAGTTAATTGTTTAGTTCAACAATATGTGGTTCATTTTCTTCTTGTTACATGTAGTTAAACTAATAATCAGTTTTTGTTCTCGATTTATCCCTGGTCAAATTGAAAAAAAGTACTGTCTAGTTAACTTTAAACTAAGATCGAAATAAATAAACACATCGTAATGTTGAAAACAAAAGTTAACCATTACACTGTACAACATACACATTCTTACTTTTTAAAGGAGCTCAATCACCGTATTTTGAGTCTAATTTTGGCCGTGTACAAAATCACCTTTAAATTGAAGGAAACCTGAAAATACCAATTTACTAAGATAGAAAAACACCAAAGAGATAATAATAAACCATAAAGGAACAAGGATGGAAAAGATCGAAAAGGATTACAAACAACAAACTTGAAAAAGTTAGGCTATACTTTTAAAGATTGGCAAATCGCTAGGTAAACTCTAGTCTGCTAATCATGCCATTCAGTTTGAATAATTTTAATTATTTTTTAGAAGTTAAACATTACAACTTCAACACATACTGTTTGTGGCAATCCACTCATTAAGGTCAATGCTTGGAGGTAGAGGCACAAGTTCTTTGATTTCTGAAATTTCTCTGATGAAACTGTTGATGTACTGCTCCTCCAAGTATGGTTTATTTTCTTTTATTTCTGGCTCAACAGGTTTTTTCTTTCCCTTCCTATAAATGACAAAATCGAGGATAAGAAGTCGTTACATGTACGTGATAATCCAAACAGTTTGAATATCCTGTATGATGCATGAATAAAAACAAATAATAAATAAATGTCAAAAAATATTACTTAAGATGGAATCCACCAGAAGTTTGAGTAACAAGTGGACAAAAACTTTCTACTGAGATTATTTATAATTATCGTATTGCAAACTTTTGTATGACTGTTTTAAATATCTTCTCAAAAAAAATCATTTCTATGAAACACTTTGGTGAAATGAAACTGATGATGAAATTTTACCTGTGTTTGCACAATAATATTTCTCTGAACTTTGAAATTTATTTTCTCTCGTTCCCATGGGAATTTGTTTCTGGTGTTATTTCAGGCAACTATTTATATCTTTAGTGTTAAGAAAATGTAAAAAGGACTATAAAATACTTAAAATTATTCTGGTACCAGATTTCTGTCCACTGAAAACTGAAATCGCTCAATTTTTTAACGGATTTTTTCTTAAATAGGAATTTCCTCCTGCACATGATCCAATAGAGAAGCTCTTTGTCCATTGTTTCCAGCTAAAATTACTGTAACAATAATATTTAGAAGTGTTGGTTTTTGAACAGGGAAGAAAACTGGAGAACCAGGAGAAAAACAGACCAAGATAAGAGAAACAACAGCTAATTCAACACACTTGACACTGAGTAAAGGATTCAAACCTAGCCACATTGGTAAGAGGCAGTGCCCTCACCACTACATCACCCCTATTTACATGTATAACCTTAGAATACTCGAACTATGATACAATTCTCTCTGGAACAAACAAAATATCCAGTATTGTACAACTGCCACCAAAAGCAAGACCAAACATAACTTACATCATGCTCACTACAGCTTTACCAAAAAAGATAAGTCTCTAGTATGATTCAATAATAAATTTTTATTACATTGATTAAGTTAGTTCAGAGGGCCAATAACTACATGTAAAATTATTAATCAGATTGCTCCATTGCTGGTCCAATATTTTCTAAGTATTAGACCAGGCACTGTCCTAAATGACCCAGCAAGATTACTCTTGAAGATTTTCGGGTAGATTCAGTCAAGGAGAACATCAGCACCTGGTCTTTTTAGTTTGGACCTTGCTGTACTCGCTTCATACTGTCAAGACTTTGGGCCAATATCCTCCCTGTACGGCCCTAACGCTTTGTTAGTAAGATGTATATAAAGGCCAAAACTATCACACTTGAGTAATACACTGATCCAATAATGATCTCACAGAGCAAGAGGTACTGAAATGTCAAGACGACTGTAAGAAATAGATCATACATGTAAGAGCTTATGGTTTCAAAATACTCAAAATTATACATGTACATCCCTCTTTCTGTGCTGAAATCTTTTCCTACTTTTTAGTCCCAAGATGGGTTAACTTGTTGTAAAAATAATTTGAACAAAACAAGAAGACCAAGTTACAAGTGGAGAAATATCAAACATTGATTATCAGTATTTATAACTATTAGAATTAAACCTTGGAATCTTAAGGAAAAGAAGAGACGTCAGGGAGCATCTTTGTATCATTATCAGCATCTGTTTACTCAGACCTAAAATCACCGCAACCTAATGATTGAACTTAACTGTGTTGAAGCAGCGTTAATCATGATCCAATATTAGTTAGTTGCCATGACACTAATTAGATAACAATATTTTCTTTATTCAATTTGGCATTTTCAAGTGCAAATACTGCAGTTTCTGTATAGGTGTAAAATTATGAGGTAACAGGAATACTGTCTCATTATCAGTTATGCAAAAAATTTCCAACCTTTCAGCTATACTGTAGTAAGATATTAAACTCTCTTCCAGATGACCTCAATTTACATAATTTATGTACATGTACATTTAGAAGTCACAAATACCATCAAAAAATCTTATATACAGTACATGTAGATCATACAATATACATGTATGAAAGATTTATAATATATCTTCTTTTTATTACAAAAACTTAAATGTCACATTATATAATTATGAATAGCTTTGTATCCCACAGTTCCCCGTTTGTAAATGATATTAATCTTCGTCAAGCTTACTGATTAATGAATTTCAATTTCGTTAATGAATGCGTGACAAGTTTTTCAATTATAACCTAAAATTTATGTATAATTCAATTCCCTTGGTTCGATGTAGCCTTGTTATTGAACAGCGAAAAAAACTCATGAGGAAATTTAACAGAACTCAAAAGAGTTTGCTCTTGGATTAAAACAGATTACCGGATGTGTAAAATATACAGTCGCACTTCATTGTAATTTTTGTGTTTAAAATATAGCTTTCGAACAAAATAAAGTATTGATTGGACTCAAGGCTGTCTTTAATGCTTCTAAATCAAGTCTTAGTTATTCTTTAATCGGAACTAAAAATTAGTGGAGTGGACACGTAATTCAGTGAGTAATTTCATGCACTTAAGTAAACAGATTGCGAACAGTAACGATATTTGAGCTGAATTCCAAATTTTCAAGATTGCCAATCGCACCGTGATCGTCACACACTCGTTCGCTTTCCAAAGGTCAAAACCTGAGTTTCCGCCGAGATTTTAACCAGCGATTTCCTGTCATTCGACAAAGCAGCAAGTAAACACTATTTCTGTTTCTTTGTTTCGTAATTATTGCCTAGGCCGCACCCAAATATGACTACTAAAGGTAAAGAGGACATGACATGCAACAATGCAAACATTGAGCTGGTTGCCCAACTTGCCTACCCCATCAACCAGTCCATGATTCTGGAGAGCTAGAAAGGCTGACTTATTCAGCTTACACATCTGAAGAGTCTTCAACACGAATCTTTGCCCTACATCGCTTAAAAGAGACGAATAAAAAGCTCTAAAGCTCGGTAACCTTTCAGGTGACTCCGAGGAGAAATTTCATGGAAATTCGTGTCAAGTGCTCGGACCCAGGCCCTTGGCCGTAGGTTCAAGCGGTTGACCGCTGACAAATAGCTTATAAAGCGATGATCGATGATCACCTGATAAGGTCATGTGTGACATGTGAAGGGTGTTGTGTTCTCGCATGGCGGGTCACTCTTGGAGGTATTTTTAATTTCGGTTTGTGTTCTTATGGCTGAACTTGAGCGCGGCTGACAGCCGCAAGCCGTTTGCATCAAACTGTCCTGATTTTAGCCGAAAGGTTTTAGTTCAGTGACGTATGGGAAACTTTGAATGAGCTTGGGAAGCGAGGCAACGATTTTGAAATTGTTATTCGACTTTGTTAGCGACGACGTTACAAGCATTTCTTCCACCGTCTTTGAAACGGGTAAGTCCGTCACGTCATTGAAGTGAAACAGAATTTGCTGCTAACTACTCAAGAATGTCCGTTTTATGATACCTCCTCAACCGGGAATATCAACATTCTTTAGCATTTGCAACGTGCTCGGCTATTCGTCCGCAGACATGCTCCAACTTCGTTATTGTGGCTTGCTGTGAATAATAAATTCATGGTCGTACGTCAAAACACGAGTTGGCTATCACTGGTTTTTTTTTTTTTTTTGTCCTGAAAGTTTGCCAAGTTTTTTCTTTCTGTGTTTGCTTAACGTTTTCTGATGTTCTCGTCCAGTGAGCGCGCTAAAACAAAATGATTTTTCACATTTCCCGGAAACGTGCCGGCTCGTTGGTCGTGCTTCATACAACTGTCTTGTGAAGTAAGCATAACTTATTGGGCTCGGAGTCTCCTTCAGCTGTTTTCCTGTTATGTTTTCCTTGAAGTTATGCAAGTTAAGCCGCTAAATTGTACATATATCAAGTCATGTAGAAACCGCAAACGAGATCTCGCGGACAATTATATCCAATTGTACATGTTTAAGGTTATAATTAATTCGTCATGTTATATGAATTCCGCCCAGATTTATAATTTAAACGTGTTATGGAAACGCGCATCAGTTATAAACATTAACCTGTAGTTACGTAATAGGCTATGTCAGTATTTTTGTTCTAAAGTTGGAGATATCCATAACTACGTTCGTCCTTCCAATTCAGGCACTATCCTAAAAACTGTACATTTTTGCATATTTTTAAGCTGAATAATGTTCACACCTTGGCTCTGCATAAGCTTGTATAAACACAACTTGCCGTTATTTTATTCCTAACTTGATAATGATGTCGAGGTGATATCAAAACGTCGTGTTTTAGCCTTGATATTCATTGTGAAATTTATTCCTAAATTTTCGCTAATTAGACTAGATGCTCATTAGAATCTTAAAAGGTTTAATTCCATCTAATTCAGCTGGGCCAGTGTTTATCTAAAGGTTGAATCTTTTAATGGTAATAAAAACAGTTAGATAATTTAATTTAATGGGGAACACAAAATTTATGTTCTATTTGAACTTACTGAACCAACACCTTTTAAAATTAAGTTACACCAGCATAAGAAACACACATATTAACAAATTATGTCCTTTTATGTTTTTTTTTATCAATACTTTCATGTTTCACTCAGCATAAGTCAAATTCTAGTCAATTCAACATTTTGTCTAAGCAAATTTAATTTAATTTTAAAATTCAATGACAGATTTTTCCGAGTCTACTTTTCAATCAAAAATGGAACTAAGGAATATTTCTCATGCTTTCCAAACCACCAGTCAATATATTGCTATAATCAATAAGCTTTTCTTCTGAGTTAACAGGACTAAAAATATGTTCACTTTTTTTCACAATAATTTTGGTAACACCTGAATTGCGAGTGGTAAACTTATCAAGATCTGATTTCTAGTGGTCAAGCAGACAGGTTATGAGACTAAAGAAACTCCCCAACTTAGACAACTTAATGTTGACATGCCATCATGTTCTGTCTGGTATTTACAAGATATTAAAGTTGGTGAAGAGAATTTTCAAAAATTTATTAAGCCCATGCACAGTTTGCAAGAGTACTTTAGGACATAAAATTTGCACTGGCTGCATCATGGTCAGCAGTTTTACTTGTAGTGTGTTTGTCAAGTAAAAGTAGACATGTTTGAACTTTTTAAACTCATCAGACTGTGAATTGAATGCAATCTTGCAACAATCCTAGAGAGAATTTCAAGTGATTATGCACGACTGCTAAACCCTGAGCCTGGTTTTGGGTTGCATTTCTGATTTTTTGTTTACCCTCTATAATGTCAACAGTGGAAAAGTTCCACTGGCAGTGTTGAATGTCTCTGTCGGCAGTATATTAAATTTACATTTACTGTTGCACATGTGCATTGTGCAACTTTTTCCAGACAGTATTGTCTGGCATGGCTACAGGCACTTTGTCTCGCCTGCATCGGGAATTGGTCATGCAACCATCCAATGTTACTACTTGAGAGCCTGCCCTTTGACCATTGAGTGATGAATGTGCATGTACATGTGGAAGTGTTGTAACCTGTTATGATTTCCAGGCAGACAAAAAGTTCATACAGGTGCAAACACTTTGCCCTTTGGACAAACTAAATGTCGGTGAAGTGTACACAAACTGATATTATTTTGAACAACTTTTAGCTACTTGAAGGAATTTAAAGTAATTTCTAAAAACTTGCTTGGTTGTTTGGTCACCAAAGGTTACATTTTTTTTGAGCTGAATTGTATAAAACTGGAAGTATCAGGAAAAAAGACCTATGATGTCTTCGCCCAGGCTATTGACATTTGCCCCACACTGGGAACAGTACTGTTGTGGGTTTATGATATCTTCTCTGTGGGATGCCACTATTCCAGACATTGCATCAAATGAATGTTTACCCAGTTGACTTCCACAACTCATGATTTGGCAATAGACTAATTTTGGCAATATATATATCCCTGTGTCTAGGTGAAGCTTCACATTCTAAGAAGCGGCAGTGAAGGAAAGTCCTGTGTTTACAAGCTACAACCAAATTTGCTCTAGTAGTGATGGCTGAAGCTAAAGAGTTGCTGTCTATCAGTGACTTTTATGCTGAGAAAACTATATTTATTACTGGTGCTACAGGATTTCTTGGTAAAATAGTGATAGAGAAGCTCTTGAGAGATTGTCCTCTTGTAAAGAAGATTTTCCTTCTGACGAGGAGTAGACGTGGCGTGAACCCTCAGCAAAGAATTGATAATATTTTGGACAGTGGGGTAAGTCTTACAGGAAGTCGTAGCAACTCTGGGTCACAAAATTATTATCAGATGTACATGTAACTGATAATTTTCTGTACATATTTCTTAACTGGTTAGAATCTAATGTTGTTACAAAACAACATACTTGAGTCAGTATTCTTACAATAAAGGCTCGCAGTGGATGGCTTTCTCTAATCCTAGAAGGCTTATAAAATTAAGTACAGCCAGTCGTACAATACATTACTTATATTATTTTGACTGTGACATGTTCATGGCTTCACATCAGTTCTTTGTAGAGTCATCATCAAATTACATAAAATGTATATGGCATGTGAATATAATGTAGAGCTTTCTGTTGGCCTAGGATTTACAGTATTTGTCCCCCAAAATACCGTTTTTGTTCCAACCTTAGATTTTATTTCAACCTCTATGGGCTGTATTTTGGAATACTGTCATTACCTCCCATTTCTGCATGTATTGTCCCTCAAAGGCATCATTTTCATTTGTAGACTGATCCCAACTGACAAGAAAGTGTGTTGATTCTTAAGGTATAAATAAATCTGTTTTGAAGGTTTTTGATAAAGTCAGAGACATGGGAGGTGACTGGAGAAGTAAAATAGTGCCAGTGAAGGGCGACATTGCAGAAGAAAATCTTGGATTGTCAGATGAGGACTGGGAGACTCTTCAAGAAAGTGTTGAAATTGTCTTCCATTCAGCAGCAACTGTCAGATTTGATGAGGATTTAAAGTGAGCCTAAAGAATTTTAGTTCTATTCACCTGTACATATGCTAGTGGCCCTAGTTACTGACACTAGTGGTTTAATTTGAATTGAACCATTGCATTGTAATCACCAAGTTACAATTTCACTTCACTTCATACAGTTCAGGCTACATACATGTACATATACTATTTCCTGTTGTGTCTGTTGTTTCTTCCTTGGTGGTGAACCAGGGCTTACATGTATGTTAACCTTTCACCAATGAATGAAAGACAAAACAAATATAAATGGGTACATGTGAACAGTCCTTTATTATCGTATTTCTATTGTCATCATACTTTTCCTACAACAAATTCCTAGCCTTGCCAGTGAGAACTAAAACGTTAAAACTGTGTGATTATATTTATTAGGCACCATTTATTCAGCCACATAGCATATTGTTTTTTAATTACCCTTTAGTTGTCAGGTCATTTTTTGATCATCTCTTTTAAACAACATTTTATCTTGCAGGGATGCAATGTGTTTAAATCTTAAAGGAACACAGAATATTATCAAGTTGTGCCGAGGAATCAAACATCTTGAGGTAGTATACTTAACCTACTTTTAAATTACATTTTTGGTGCTTTTTGTAGCCTGGTACAAGTCATATATACAGCAGTCTAGCTTATGTCTCAAAACTGAGTGGGAGGGATTAGGAGATACTAAAACAGGGATTTGTGTGTAACCACGTCTAAGACATGAAGAAGGGAATGAAGTATTCAGATCTGGACACTAATCCAAATCATGAAGAAATTAATAAAATGCAGATCACTTAAATTGTTGTTTTCAATCAGTGTATATAAAATAAATATTCGGACAAAGGCTATTTTGTTGCGAGTTATTCAATTTGGTCATTTCTCAACTGGGGTCTCGTTCAGGAAACCAAGTTGTCTCTGTTTACATATGCTTGTACCCCTGGGTCTTAAGGCAATCCTGGAGAGTGACTACAACATGTTTTGGCTAGCCCAACTAAAGGCTACTGTTTTCTTGATAAATAAACATCAGAGGAAATGGCTGTCCTTGATCCTTATTAAATAACAGTGAACTAGTTAGGAAGTCAGTTGCAAGATTTGTTTAACTTTGTTTTAGCCATAATCTGATTGTGCTGTTATTTTAATTTTTTCATCTTACATCTCGCTGAATGGTTTCCTTAATTATTGTTTGGTTCAGGTGTTGGTTCACGTCTCTACTGCTTATGCCAACTGTGACAGAGATACCATTGAAGAGAGAATATACCCTCCCTCTGTGGATCCAGACAGGCTCGCCAACTCAATTGGGTACAATTACATTGTAGAATAACACATTGTTTGTAAAGGCCAACAAATGTGATCTTTCTGGTAATTTGTCATTCAACAATGCTACTTTACAAGTTGAAATTTGTTGACTGTCTTAACAACAGTTGTGCAAGATGCAGCAACATGATATGCAACATAGGATTCAACGTTGTACAACTTGTTGACTGCACTGCTTGGCCTTTGTTAAAAAACTTCTTACATCACTTAAAATTATAATTAAAAATTCATTTATAGAGCACCATACTCTGGCCATTAATTTTCCATGGCACTGTACAATACTAATTAAAATGACTTGGCACTGGTTTTTTGATCATTGCCTGTTCTTTCGTTGTGTCAAATAGCTGGATGGATAACGACATGGTGAATGCGCTCACGCCCCATTTGATTGGCAAGCGACCTAACACCTACACCTTTACCAAGAGTTTAGCTGAACACGTGCTACTTCAAGAGGCTGACAATTTTCCCATAGCAATTTTTAGACCATCAATCATTGGTGCTGCATGGAAAGAGCCCTATGAAGTGAGTCCACATGTCTAGATAGCAATTACATTACTGTACACACAAGTTGGTCATTTTCTTTTTGTCACACTGTGTCTTTATTTTATGTGCACGTTATAAGGATTTTCTAGTTTAATGGTGGCTTTCAGGAAAAAAGCTAAGTGTAAAAATTTACATGTAACTTAAAATGTACATTAACAAGCCCAGTAGACTTGCATGTAATTGGCTTGCTCTTCTCAAAATTATGCAAAGCTGTGGAAAAGGTCTCATCTGACAGCTAGTGAAATTTGCTGATGTCAGCTTGTAGCTACATGTCTGAGTTTAATTCTTACAGATACTCGCCACCTTACTGCATGTCAAAATTATGTACTTTGCCTATTCAATCTTGGTCAAGAACCCTGAATAAATGTATTACTCCGTGGGTGCCTTCAATTTTGGCTTATTCTAAGTACATGCTTATTACTTTTAAGAAATTTAGGCTGTCTCTTCAAAGTATTCTCCACACCAAACAAATGTACATGTAGAAGACTTAATTATAATAATAATATCGTTAGTAGTATATCTCTTTCATTTTTAATTTATTGTGTTCTTCTTTAGGGTTGGGTTGATAATTTCAATGGACCAAGTGGACTATTTGTTGCTGTAAGTTTAATGTTGTTACTTCCTTCAGTATATATTTGATAATTACAAAATAAACCAACAATTAAGCTTTCAGCTTCTTCACTACATTGTAGTGTCGGCAACTGGGGTGTGCTAAGTAGTGTAGTCAGCCTAGTAGGTGTTTGGATTCATGTTATGAAAAGTCCATTGTCATAAGGCATGGAAAGGGGTTCCTACAACTTTCATTGTTTTGGGGTGCATCATTTACAAAATGGTGGAAGCAGGTTGCCTTTTTCATCTCTCAACCCCTAACCTACTTCAAACAAAATCTCAAATACTGTGACACCTTTTGGAATCTTCTTTTAACAAGAGCACAACCTTATTAATGTAAAATTACAGTGACTGGCATTTGTTAGAAGTTTATGTCTGTGATTTTTAGTTCTTGAGCATTTCTTTGTTGTGCCAAGAAATTATGAAAAAATACAAATAAATTTATGATTAATATTAGAGCTGAAGGTGTTAAAAACTGAGCTCCTGCCATTAAAATAAAGTCATGTTCCCTTTTTTACAGGCTGGAAAAGGAATGCTGCGGTCGATGATTGGGGACTTGAATGCCATAGCGGACATTATCCCTGTGGACTTCTCTGCCAACATGATGCTTGCCATTGCTTGGCACAGAGTTGTGAAAAGGTAAACAGTATATTATAGTAGTTTACATAAATTAGTATGGGAATGGCAATGACTGCTATTGTCGGATAAAACATAAGTCAAATTGGGTGGTGAGGTGGTTACTGAGGTAGTCTTCAGACCTAGCAGTCCTGGAGTTTGAGCTCTGGCAGTGTTGTTGTTCTCCATCGTCAGGCAATACAGTCTCTTATCAACAAAGTGTCTAAGTGGTTTAAAAGCCCCTCCCCCTCCTCAACCTCCCAGCAATGGAACTGGAAACCCATCCAGGAGGCAATGACTCCACCCAGCGTCCTTATGATAAACAAGACAGTTTCCTCTCTCAGTGCCTCTCCTGCCCAGAGATTTACTGGTAAGTGGCTCCCGGTGGCTGATGGTGATGGAAGCATAACAAAATGCTTAAGAGTTGGGAGGTTTGTAATGGACATTTCATCAAGGGCAAGCAATGATTTGAATACTTTTACATTGTGGCCAGTTTGATTCACTGTTTAACAATCTGGGATCATTTGCCCTAGGCATTCAACTATACCAATCTATCATCTGACGACAGGAATGTTGAACGGATGTACGTGGGGAAACCTGTGTAAGTAAATGCACATCTACATCTACTTAGTTTGCCAACAAACAGAAGAAAAAAAAACCTTTATTGCAACTCTAATTTCTCCCCTCAAAGGATAAGCCTAGGGAAATTGTTAAACTGCATTTAAATCCAAAGAGTTATCTATTTGTCACTTGGATAATATTCATCTTGAATAAAGTTAGCCAAATTTCACAGTTGAGTTCTCACAGTCTCAATTTTATTTCCAGTTCACAGTCAGATTGTGGATTTCTTTTGTAACACTGAGCAAGTCTAGGGCTAAGAAAAAACATCATTCTGTCTGTTAGTCTTAGGTCTCAAATTTTATATAGCAATATTTATATCTATATTATTTACGATTTCCTGTGAGAAGTCTATCACTGACTTGTGATTTTACTTGCAGGTACAATCCTGAGTCGTCATTTTAAGACCTATCCTTTTGAGGGTGTGTTCAGACGACCAAACTTTTCTTTTGAGTCAAGAAAGTAAGAGTGCCTTGTCTATGTTGTTAGAAACTAAACATAGAATATGTATTGAAGTTAAATTTGTCAGGGATAAGCAAGGATTAATTTTCTTGTATGCGCTAAGAAACAGATTGAGTGTATGGAAATTATGGTCAGTAGGTGCTGATTTTGTCATGAGGTCAAGTTAACAGACTGAAACTTTTCTTCCTCAGTTTTCTTAATGGAGTGGTCTCAACAATCTTGTAAATTTTAACAATTTTAATATTCATAGGCTTGTCTTTTAACATTATCGTAAATTTGTAATTGTGTACCTTTATTATTATTTAACTCGAAGATACTAGCTTTATGTAGCTACTCTAAAATTCGAGTTTTAAATATAGCTTATGTCCACTGTCATTTAAGCTGGCATATTGAATTACAAGAACTGTGGGAGACAAATCTCACGTAAGGTTTTCAAAAAGATATCAAGAAGTTGTCAAACTTAATTTTAAAACTTTATCAAATGATGATGGTATAGCAATCTTCACAGTTATTCTATCACTGATATCATGTTTTAAACTTGTATCTTTTCATTACAGACTGATGCACTTCTACTGGTGTTACATCAGTCACAAAATCCCTGCCTTCATCGCTGATATGACATCATTTTGCTCTGGACAGAGACCAATGTAAGAACAAAAAACCCTGTTGATGAGACATCGTGTCCAAAGAAATTGTTTTCCTAATGTGAAAACAGAAGTTTAATGAACTTGACGATGTTACTGTTCTTTGCTCAACAGAATGAACAAGTTGTACGGGAAAATAGAGAGAGCCACCAGAAGTTTGATCTACTTCACATCAAGAGGCTGGGAGGTAATTGGTTGTTACTTCTCTCTCCTGGTGTATTTGTTTTCTACAAATTTTATTAATTTATGTCGTGTTGTGATAACAACTGTAGTGGTAATTGGCTCTCTCGCTCCTCTAGTCTCCTTTGCAGCCACTTGTTTTGGAATATCACGTAACGCTCCCCCAAAGAGTGTTGCGTGACATCCCTTAAAAAGGTTGCGTTAGAGACTATGGCTCCTCTTTCCCCTATGACTATTCCAGGCAGTCATTACTCAACTTAATTTCCACAAAGCTTTTCTCTTGCATTGCAAATTAAGGTTATTATAATTTTTTACAAGCTTTCGTTGTTTTTCTTGCTCTTGTAGTGGTGGTGGTGGTATATATAAATAATTTTAAGACTATTGCTCTTGCAGCCATTAAATCTTTTGTATAATGTATATTCAGACGTCCTAACTTATCTCGACGAGATTATACTTAATCTATTTTATTTTATCTTTTACTAATTTATAATTTTTACTGTATATATACATATTGTAATTATTTATTACGTGCTTTTATTATGTTATTTTCAACTCCTAGTAGATTTCCACTGTTTAAGGAGTATACTTATTAAAGATTAAAGATTAAAGGTGGTGATTTTGGTAATGAAGAGGAGATAAGCAGTGTCACGCACTCAGTTCAGTTTATAAACAAGAGGTCAAACTTCTTTTCTTTTAATTTGCAGTTTTCAATGGATAACTATCGTGGATTAATTCAAGACATGAGTCCCCAGGACAGAGAGGTAAATATCAACCTTACTTACCATTTCGATCCAGACACTTTCAAACGTGGCGTGACCTTTTGAATCGTCACGCAATTGTTCAGGAAAACCTAACTGATGTGGGTTTTTTTTCCCAGACTTTCAATTTTGACGTAGAGAAGCTTGACTGGAACACATATTTTGTGCGGTTTGTTCTTGGAATCAAGCAGTTTCTTTTGAAGGAAGATTTAGCGAACCTTCCTGTGGCGCAGAGCCGTATTCGCAGGTTAGTGTATTCTCTATAGTATGTCATCGTTTCGCCTTTTAAACAAGTTTCCGCTGAGCGGACATCGTTATTTTGTTGGCCAGTTGGTCGACGAGCGCGAAATTGAGAAGATGCGTAATGGTAGGGGGCCCGGGGTAGGGGGACCTGAGCGAGTGTAACCAGAGCAGGGGTTGTGGAAAGTGAACCACAACCCCTTTATTGATATTGTACGACTGAAAGCGTTTGTGCATTTCCTCTGAATAGTCCCTTACGTTTCCTTCCGCCCCTATGTAGGAGTGGACGTTATTAGCGCGAGATCCTGTTGGAGGCTGATAGCTCCCCTCCCGTCCGCTTCCCTCGCCCGATTGTTTAGGTACATGTAGCGTATGTCGGAGCTTTTAAATTGAGCAAATATTCTCCTTATTTTGGAGCCAAGGGGCCTCTTCCCTTGCCTTCATCTTCATCTTTCCAGATACCGAAAAGAGAGTTAAAAATACGACGCGTAGCGGAGTGTTTTTAACGAACTTCGACGTGTTTGGAAATGTGGTCAAACACTGACTTGAGTGTTTGAGATATCTAAAAACTGAGGGAAAACGGAGAAATGAAATTGTCAAGGTCTATGCCAATTAAGATCAGATATCCAAACACCGTCACGGTCATGAATTCCTTTCTTTAAACTTGATGAATTATTAATGAGTATGAGAAATCTAGCTTGTAACATTTTCTCCCATCTTAATTTTCAGACTGCGTAACATCCGTTGGACGGCGTACTTTGTGTTGTTCCTGTTTTCCTCATGGCTCATTATCAAGAGGTTCCCAGCCGCACAGACTGCTTGGGCCCAGTGCTTATCCGGCGTTCACAGGCTGGCGCGGGCCCTGGAACCATTCAAGCTCTCCAACTAGGTGTTACTTATAAATTATGATGAAAAAAAAATATGAGCAGAACTTTATTCGTTTTTTTGTTGTTGTTGTTGTTGTTGTTTTTGTACGTTCATCCGTAGAACATAGGCTTTGTGGCCATTACGTGATACTTTTGTACAATCTAGACGCAGATTTAAAAGCAAACGTTTTGTAATTGTAATGTATATTGTAACTACGTTTTCTAAGAGGAACCAAAAAAACAGTGTTCAAGCACAAGTATTGAGGTATAGCAGTCTACACTCTAAAATTGACATTACTGTTATTTAATATATAGTTTCATAATTGATAACTGGTAATTAAGTTTTGGATGATTGCCGCCCAGAAGCTGTGGTCCCTCAGAGTCAGATGATCGCTCGCAGCATTGTGTGAAATGCAACAAAGATATTAACTTCAGCTCGTGCAAAGTCAGATTAACTGAGTGTATAACTCGCAGAAACACTCGCTGAACGCCAGTTTAAGGACTGTACTGGTGTGTAAACTCGTGGTCGTGATAAGGGGTTTTCGTTAAGTGTTTGAAACAATTCAAGTACCCAAGTTATGCAAATGAAGTACCTGATGCATTGCCTAATTCTCCTAAACCGACTTTAAGAAAATATTTCAGAAAAGTTGGGAGAAATTTGGTCCTGAACCTGAAGGGAATAATTTAAGAAGACAGCAAATGGCTTTGACTTTAGAATAGTAGATAAGTTGTAGACCATTTAGGGGTTTGCACAGGCCAAGTTGGCCTGAACATTTGTAACTTTATGAAAGGTACATTTGAAACCCTTGATTCGCATGTGAGCGAAACACAGTTTTTGCTTTCTAAGCTAAGAAACTTCAGTTTAAATTTTGTTGTAACAAAGAGTTGAATGAAAGTACGCATTGGTGTCAAAGTAAATAAGAAACTATAATGTATGATCTTGGGTTAGCCAAAACCCTAACCCTACCTCATCAGAAGTAAAGTTTCTTGAAACTGTTTGGCATGTAAAAGTGTCTTAAAATGCCCAATGTGGCAAAAGAAGATTGAACTCTTGTTATCGCTAAGAAGGATTCAATTGTGATTCCAGGTAATCGAGCGTCACTTTCTACCATGGCGTGTTGTGCTATATTGCTATTGTAAGTTAAGTCATTGTGGAAAATAATATAGCCAAGGCGAAAATTATGCTAAAAGTTAGTTAGACACAACACTGAGTATCAAAATGGTAGGTTAAATTTATTATCAAATACGATATTGATCAGACGAAATAAATTGATGCAAACTTGAGAATCCCTTGTGGTTCTTCCTTTCCGCTCAAATAAGCTTAGTACAAACTGAACCTATATTTCCCAAGAGTGATTAACATCTGATTTTCCCTTACCATGTCAATACATTTTAAAGCAGACGGATGTAGAGATGGTGATACTTGAACAATTGTTTTTTTTCGAGCACGTTTGGAGTGTTGACCGCATTGATTTTTCGGCGACTCCTTACTCCCACAGACCCTCTCCCTCCCCTCCCCACCCCCCCGGAAGTTAAGGCGCATTTCGCACAAAGTTCGAGCAATGAGTGCAAATATTATTTACTAAAAATTTACTCGTAGCACGGTAACTTTGGGGATTCTATTTAAAACAACTCACTTTAGTTCACTTCCCTAAGTGGCCCCGCGATTAAATTCTCAAGCATTCTCGAGAAAGTTAAAGTCAAACCTCGTAAGAATGAAGCGTGTGTTATTGTGAAGCGTCTGTTTTTATTGAAATATGGATAACTTCAAGTCCACTTTTCCCTCGCGGGGTCAGCTTGAGAGCCTTTAAAGTCTCGATAAGTTCTTAACTGTATTCAAAATATTACCATGTCATGAAGTTTTTTGGTAACTTGATTTTTGCCATTATTACTTGAATGTTCTGCGGAAATTATCTTAACATATAAGTGGGTTACCAGTGAACTGACAGAAGGCCGTCCAGGAGGAGTATCAAGACCCGAACGCTTAGCGCTGGTTGCAAACTTTGACTGTGATTGGTTGATATATCACGTACCATAAAGACCTCGTTGATATTAAAACCAATAAACTCAGATGTCTCGACGACCGGCTCGAATCAGTCGCAATGCGCGCGGTTTTGCCTTTTACTGTACGAATATTAAAGCGATAGAATTGAAACACCACCCGGTCACTGTGGACTATAAACAATATACAAAACACTGTATATAACTATTGAATTGTTTAATTAAATTAGCACACACAGGATTTTCGGTCAGTTTACATGTTGATACTACAGCTAATTTATTAACAATGACCTCACCTAAAAAATTATACTACGTCAACCAAAAATAAATATTACAGTAAGGAATACTAAATGTAGAAATGACATCAACTCGGAAAAAAATCCGAGATCCAGATGAGATTAGGGTCGAGGTCATGGGTCGTGGGCCAAATGTTCTTCCGAGTTGATATCAAAAATAAATACACTGGCTTAGTTGAATACAGCAGAAAAAAAACTGACGCGAACGTTTCCGAAATTTTTTGCCGTTAACGACAAAAGCCTTTACGATCGGCATTTTGTTTAATACGTCCACCATAAATAAATGAGCCTACTGGAAATTATACTGAATTAACCTTTTACGTTCGATTTTTGCCTGTGATTATCTTTGTTTTTTGTTGCAGGTTATTTGCTTGTGTTTGTGTTTTTGTTTGCTAATTTGTTTGTTTGTTTGCTTGTTTGTTTGTTTGTTTGTTTGTTTGTTGCCTTTGTTCTTATGGCTTTATTCGGGCTTGGCGTTGGGCCTCACTTATGCAAAGTGTTTGCACCACGACATGATCACGTGAAGAAAATCTCATTTTCAACATGACGATTTTTAAAGCCTCTCAATTTGAAGTACCGGCAAAGAAAATACGAAAATAATTGATAATCTCACAATATAGCTAAGGTCAGACCTAAAACTTAGAACAGCCAAGCGTGATTCATACATACATACATCCTTTATTATCTTTCCCCATGGGGGCTTTTCGAAGACAGTATGGTACAATCCCTCCCTGTCTGTAGCTGTCTTCGTCTCTACCGCTCCCTAGCTGTGCTGTCGAACTTCTGTAAAGTTTGCTATGCTCGAACATATATATGAGGATGTCTCATTTCTCTTAAACGTACTTTAGTCCTTAAATGTCAGTTGATTGGTTGGAGTAACGCAAGCTTGATATTCTTTCTACTGGCTGCAATAAACGTCTATAATTTAAGTTAGTTTGGAGATTTGGGTGCCGATCAAGACAGCATCTTTTAGCTCACACTATTTCTCGCTAATTTACATAGAGCAACAAATTTATACACTGTAGACATTGTAGGTAGAAACTATTTGTCGGTCTAATTATTCTCGGGTTTTTCTGTCCAGTTCTTTTCCTATCACTTGGGGGTATCTGACTGATTGCGATTCCTGTCTCTTGTTCCTTAAAAACGTAAATTGCACAATTGCTAAATGAAGCCCACTCCAGGTGAGTGGCGCACGCTGTCTTCATCTGAAGCATCACTTTTGTTCCAGTCTAGCCACTGAGAGTCTCGCTCTGACTTGTCACCTTCCAGTGTAAGGTAACCTGAGTTACTGGCGCCACTGAGGCCGTGATTATCCGGACTAAATGTCTGTTTAAAGAAAAAAAAAGGCAAATAATGAAGCAGCAATGATTAACAGCTTAGTATGGAAAAAAAAACCAGCCCTGAAATGTCAGTCATCTCACGGTCTAATCTCAGGTTTCCCCCTTCTGACGAGTTCAAGTAACGTGATTATCAGGCTGTCATGCATAACGGTAATGACGATAAGAAGTGTAAAACTGTGTGAATACTTCTACCATTAGCTGCCTATTTTGAAGGTCGCTAAAGCTGCCTCCCAAAGGCGAATCTAAAGTGAAAAAAATGCCTTCTCTCAGGTCCACTATTTGAAACGCACATTACATATAATAGCGAACCCACCGTCAATCCATGACTATTTTTGCTGCCTGCGTTCTCTCCAGGGCCAGTTAACTGGAACATTTCCTTTGTGTTCGAGGACACACTGTACGTGTACATACGGGGCTGCACAGATCTAGAGTGACCACTGTCAACATGCAACACAGGAAAGTTTCTCTGCACACTTCTTAATCTTCTGTTTTGGTACTTTGAGTTGAAAAGCAGATGAAATATGAAATTAGTACTGCTAGTAATCAAGCACTAACAAGAAAAAAAAAAAANCAGGCCAAGTTGGCCTGAACATTTGTAACTTTATGAAAGGTACATTTGAAACCCTTGATTCGCATGTGAGCGAAACACAGTTTTTGCTTTCTAAGCTAAGAAACTTCAGTTTAAATTTTGTTGTAACAAAGAGTTGAATGAAAGTACGCATTGGTGTCAAAGTAAATAAGAAACTATAATGTATGATCTTGGGTTAGCCAAAACCCTAACCCTACCTCATCAGAAGTAAAGTTTCTTGAAACTGTTTGGCATGTAAAAGTGTCTTAAAATGCCCAATGTGGCAAAAGAAGATTGAACTCTTGTTATCGCTAAGAAGGATTCAATTGTGATTCCAGGTAATCGAGCGTCACTTTCTACCATGGCGTGTTGTGCTATATTGCTATTGTAAGTTAAGTCATTGTGGAAAATAATATAGCCAAGGCGAAAATTATGCTAAAAGTTAGTTAGACACAACACTGAGTATCAAAATGGTAGGTTAAATTTATTATCAAATACGATATTGATCAGACGAAATAAATTGATGCAAACTTGAGAATCCCTTGTGGTTCTTCCTTTCCGCTCAAATAAGCTTAGTACAAACTGAACCTATATTTCCCAAGAGTGATTAACATCTGATTTTCCCTTACCATGTCAATACATTTTAAAGCAGACGGATGTAGAGATGGTGATACTTGAACAATTGTTTTTTTTCGAGCACGTTTGGAGTGTTGACCGCATTGATTTTTCGGCGACTCCTTACTCCCACAGACCCTCTCCCTCCCCTCCCCACCCCCCCGGAAGTTAAGGCGCATTTCGCACAAAGTTCGAGCAATGAGTGCAAATATTATTTACTAAAAATTTACTCGTAGCACGGTAACTTTGGGGATTCTATTTAAAACAACTCACTTTAGTTCACTTCCCTAAGTGGCCCCGCGATTAAATTCTCAAGCATTCTCGAGAAAGTTAAAGTCAAACCTCGTAAGAATGAAGCGTGTGTTATTGTGAAGCGTCTGTTTTTATTGAAATATGGATAACTTCAAGTCCACTTTTCCCTCGCGGGGTCAGCTTGAGAGCCTTTAAAGTCTCGATAAGTTCTTCTTAACTGTATTCAAAATATTACCATGTCATGAAGTTTTTTGGTAACTTGATTTTTGCCATTATTACTTGAATGTTCTGCGGAAATTATCTTAACATATAAGTGGGTTACCAGTGAACTGACAGAAGGCCGTCCAGGAGGAGTATCAAGACCCGAACGCTTAGCGCTGGTTGCAAACTTTGACTGTGATTGGTTGATATATCACGTACCATAAAGACCTCGTTGATATTAAAACCAATAAACTCAGATGTCTCGACGACCGGCTCGAATCAGTCGCAATGCGCGCGGTTTTGCCTTTTACTGTACGAATATTAAAGCGATAGAATTGAAACACCACCCGGTCACTGTGGACTATAAACAATATACAAAACACTGTATATAACTATTGAATTGTTTAATTAAATTAGCACACACAGGATTTTCGGTCAGTTTACATGTTGATACTACAGCTAATTTATTAACAATGACCTCACCTAAAAAATTATACTACGTCAACCAAAAATAAATATTACAGTAAGGAATACTAAATGTAGAAATGACATCAACTCGGAAAAAAATCCGAGATCCAGATGAGATTAGGGTCGAGGTCATGGGTCGTGGGCCAAATGTTCTTCCGAGTTGATATCAAAAATAAATACACTGGCTTAGTTGAATACAGCAGAAAAAAAACTGACGCGAACGTTTCCGAAATTTTTTGCCGTTAACGACAAAAGCCTTTACGATCGGCATTTTGTTTAATACGTCCACCATAAATAAATGAGCCTACTGGAAATTATACTGAATTAACCTTTTACGTTCGATTTTTGCCTGTGATTATCTTTGTTTTTTGTTGCAGGTTATTTGCTTGTGTTTGTGTTTTTGTTTGCTAATTTGTTTGTTTGTTTGCTTGTTTGTTTGTTTGTTTGTTTGTTTGTTGCCTTTGTTCTTATGGCTTTATTCGGGCTTGGCGTTGGGCCTCACTTATGCAAAGTGTTTGCACCACGACATGATCACGTGAAGAAAATCTCATTTTCAACATGACGATTTTTAAAGCCTCTCAATTTGAAGTACCGGCAAAGAAAATACGAAAATAATTGATAATCTCACAATATAGCTAAGGTCAGACCTAAAACTTAGAACAGCCAAGCGTGATTCATACATACATACATCCTTTATTATCTTTCCCCATGGGGGCTTTTCGAAGACAGTATGGTACAATCCCTCCCTGTCTGTAGCTGTCTTCGTCTCTACCGCTCCCTAGCTGTGCTGTCGAACTTCTGTAAAGTTTGCTATGCTCGAACATATATATGAGGATGTCTCATTTCTCTTAAACGTACTTTAGTCCTTAAATGTCAGTTGATTGGTTGGAGTAACGCAAGCTTGATATTCTTTCTACTGGCTGCAATAAACGTCTATAATTTAAGTTAGTTTGGAGATTTGGGTGCCGATCAAGACAGCATCTTTTAGCTCACACTATTTCTCGCTAATTTACATAGAGCAACAAATTTATACACTGTAGACATTGTAGGTAGAAACTATTTGTCGGTCTAATTATTCTCGGGTTTTTCTGTCCAGTTCTTTTCCTATCACTTGGGGGTATCTGACTGATTGCGATTCCTGTCTCTTGTTCCTTAAAAACGTAAATTGCACAATTGCTAAATGAAGCCCACTCCAGGTGAGTGGCGCACGCTGTCTTCATCTGAAGCATCACTTTTGTTCCAGTCTAGCCACTGAGAGTCTCGCTCTGACTTGTCACCTTCCAGTGTAAGGTAACCTGAGTTACTGGCGCCACTGAGGCCGTGATTATCCGGACTAAATGTCTGTTTAAAGAAAAAAAAAGGCAAATAATGAAGCAGCAATGATTAACAGCTTAGTATGGAAAAAAAAACCAGCCCTGAAATGTCAGTCATCTCACGGTCTAATCTCAGGTTTCCCCCTTCTGACGAGTTCAAGTAACGTGATTATCAGGCTGTCATGCATAACGGTAATGACGATAAGAAGTGTAAAACTGTGTGAATACTTCTACCATTAGCTGCCTATTTTGAAGGTCGCTAAAGCTGCCTCCCAAAGGCGAATCTAAAGTGAAAAAAATGCCTTCTCTCAGGTCCACTATTTGAAACGCACATTACATATAATAGCGAACCCACCGTCAATCCATGACTATTTTTGCTGCCTGCGTTCTCTCCAGGGCCAGTTAACTGGAACATTTCCTTTGTGTTCGAGGACACACTGTACGTGTACATACGGGGCTGCACAGATCTAGAGTGACCACTGTCAACATGCAACACAGGAAAGTTTCTCTGCACACTTCTTAATCTTCTGTTTTGGTACTTTGAGTTGAAAAGCAGATAAAATATGAAATTAGTACTGCTAGTAATCAAGCACTAACAAGAAAAAAAAAAAACAAGAGAAAAAGATGATCACAAGGAAAATCAGAGTAATCTTTCAATTTCCTAACGTTTGTTCACTGGCTGATTGATACCATCTTATTTAATAAAAGGCTTCGTGTAAATTTCTAATGAGTGCCGAAACAAAGTTTAATAAAATGGAACTTCAAAATGGAATGAAATCAGTTGTGCTTGTTACAATCAATTCCCTCAAGAGAGAAATCAGAGTCCAGTCCAGAAAAATACCAATCAAACTGATTACGTGTCCTCTGATTAGTTATTAAATTAGTTATAAATTAGTTATAAATTATTATTATTATTATTATTATTATTATTATTATTATTATTATTATTAAACTCCGGGCAAACTATCGCAGCATTTCACCGCAACATGTCGCAACATGTCGCGTGTAATTGGCTTCCTTGTTGCGACCTGGTGTGTTGTTGGCTCAAGTTTGAAAATGGGTAAAATTGAGCCAGCAACACCCAACATGTCGCAACACTTCGCAATAATGTGGCCAAACGCACGCAACATGTTGCGTCCAGCAATGTTGCGATATGTTGCGTTGAAATGTTGCGATCGTTCGTCCGGGGCTTTACTTGTGCGCGAAAATTGTTAACCAAGGAACAACCAATAAGAAACACCACACAGATCTCTTCAATATGGAATGTTTCGGGTTGAATAAAAGAAGGAGAAATCAAACGCACGTGTGAAATCGTTTGTAGACTCCACCTCAAGCTAGCCAGTACCATGAGGAAGTAGCAAATCAAACGCGAGCGAGACCAGTGTTACACCTGACGTGTTGTTTACTTATTCGTAACAACACCTTAGTTGCGGCCACGAGGAGGCCGTAGGCCGAGGGCCGTTTTAAGGGGCCAAAGGCAAAGTTTTCTTTTTTGATAAGGACCGACCAAGCCAGCATATAACGATTTTGTTTTCGTTTACTCTTGCGTTGTTATTATTTTTTTAACGTTTACACATGCAGCCAAGTCTAGAGTGAACCTAAACCTTTAGTTTCTAACAAGGGAATGTGAGCGGTCGGTAACTCGGGGTCTGTATCGTGAAAAACTGCCCACGTAATAAGCCAATCAAATACTAGGATTCAGGATTCAGGATTCCGGACCGCTGAGATGCTTGGGAAAAAGATAATGGGTTATATTTGTTTTTTTTTTAAGGTTATGATGACCAAAGCCTTAAACTAAAGACTTACCACGACGACTAATAATGCGATCAGTAAAATTACAATCACAGGCATGGTTGCAATAAGGACAATTTTCCATTTCTCTAACCCGGACCCTGCCTCAGGCTTCTCTGTTGTACTCGTAGTTGGCGTGGGACCAGCGATCTGTCTCACACTAACTCCAGTGATAGTGAAATTTGAACCTCCTTCTCCCTTCTGTATTGCATCTTTCAGTGTGTCCTCGTCAACATTCGTTGTGGCCTTTAGGTAAACTGTAAAATCGAATTTCACGCTTCCCTCCCGAAAGTTACTCACTTCTACATCAATGAAGTTTTCTTCATATGATTTCTTGAGGACTAACTCTAAATGGTTTTTCAGATCGCTGGAGAGTTGTTTGTACGCAGTTGTACTGTTGTTGGCATAGTCATTGTTCCACTGTCTATCTATTGACCCGCTTCCTTTAAATTCCTTGGAGCCCTCTGTTAGAACATGTGAAAGGAAAAGGAAACTCTCATCAATAAGGGGACTCTTGAGGAACTTAGTGCAGGTTAGGGATTCTCTGATTCGCACTCAAGAGGAAAACTTCCCTAATCGATAAAGGCCATATAGCTTAAAAAATATTCAGTTAATTTTTCCCTTAACAGGATGATATTAATACCACAGATTTGAATCATGTTGGATATATACTTCTCAAACTCCTTTAAAATTCAGCAAGTTAAAACAAAATCACAACCGTGAAGGAGGTTTGGATACCCGGTCTTAATTAGCATAGATTTTGACGATTTTACTTCTCCGTTTACTTCTTAGTTTTTGTTTCGATTGAGAAGACAATCTATATAGGTATGGATGGATGGATGTCATGTCTCGATAAGATCAAACTCACATATGATAATTAATACTAATACTAATACTAATACCAATACCAATACCAATACCAATACCAATACCAATACCAATACCAATACCAAACCAATACCAATACCAATACCAATACCAATACCAATACCAATACCAATACCAATACCAATACCAATACCAATACCAATACCAATACCAATACCAATAC